AAGAGTTAGGTTTAGGGTTAGGGTTTGGGTTAGGGTTAATGTAAAAAACATGTAAACAATGTAAAACATTGCCCAATGACTCCAATGTTTTGTGTAAGATAGTACTATCGGTGTGCAACATCCGAATTCCGATCATTTGCTTTCATTTTCAGCACGGTTATAGTATTACCCCTTTTTAACACTAACCCTGAATGACATGAGTGTATGTTGGGAATTGACGTAGTGATAAAAAGGTAAAGAAGTTATCGTCCAAGAGAACAAGAGATCCGGGCCTGGTTCACGACGCCCTAGAGGACGAAGGTAGGCCCAGAAATGCCAAGTGTTCTCAAGGAGGAGTATATGCTRTGTTGGGTGAAAAACAAAACTTAACCTCAGAAGATCGTAACGACAATCGTTTCCCCTATCGTTGTTCGCCTAAAATCGTCTGGAGCTAATTATCGTTGCGTTCTAGGCACGGATTTTGACTTAGAGTCGTTCAAGTCATAAACTAACAGATTGTAAGTTTTTCAGCCAAGTGCAACTGCCAATTGTCTGAATCTGCGGTTCCACGCGTACTGAGCAGAATTACTATTGCAACAACACTTCATCAGTAGGCTAAAACTAACCTGCCTCACGACGGTCTAAACCCAGCTCACGTTTCCTATTAGTGGATGAACAGTCCAACACTTGGCGAATTCTGCTTCGCAATGATAGGAAGAGCCGACTTTGTAGGATCAAAAAGCAACGTCGCTATGAACGTTTCGCTGCCACAAGCCAGTTATCCCTGTGCCAACTTTTCTGACACCTCTAACTTTAAACTGCTAAAGATTAAAGGATTGATAGACCATGCTTTCACAGTTGGTATTCATACCGAAAATCAAAATCAAGTGAACTTTAACCCATTTGTTCTACATGAGATTTCTGTGATCATTGAGCTCACATTAGGACACCTGGCGTTATATTTGACAGATGTCCCGCCCCCGCCAAACTCCAAACCTGACAGTGTCTTCGATTCGGACTGGTTTGCAAAAGAGAGACTTTAAATCCAGAACGTAAACCTTGCGCTTCGCCTCCACTTCATCCAATAAGTAAAATGGATCCTCCTTAAAGGATTTATATAAGTTGTGCTCGTTCTAATTACAAGGCTTACAAAACCTACGTCTTGTTATTTCTGGTCAGACTCCATCTCTATACATTACTATCAACAGTTGATATCACACGCAGTCTTTGGCCGTGTGAACCCAAAAATCCAGTCTTGCCCTACAATGGCTCCTCCTTAAAGTTTTTCAGTTTTACTCATTCCAATTGCAAGACTAAGTAAAGCCATGTCTTGTTACTTCTTGTCAGGCTCCATCTCAATACATTACTATCAACAGTTAACATCACACGCAGTCTTTAGCCGTGTGAAACCAAAATYCACACTTTGCCTTCTTTGCCCAACTTGAACAACGTCTCCCCGAACGCACCACTGGCATGCACGCGATCCAAGAGGCTCATACTATCCCCAAAGCCCGTCTACCAGCACGGCGTTCTTCCGCGAGGCATAAGCTGTAACGCTGTGCCTGTCCATACCAGAACTTCACACTGACTCTTCCAATGTCGATATCAGTTAGAAGTGTCAGAAAAGTTGGCACAGGGATAAATGGCTTGTGGCAGCGAAACGTTCATAGCGAGGTTGCTTTTCGACCGTACAAAGTCGGCTCTTCCTATCATTGCGAAGCAGAATTCGCCAAGTGTTGGATTGTTCACCCACTAATAGGAAACGTGAGCTGGGTTTAGACCGTCGTGAGGCAGGTTAGTTTTACCCTATTGATGAAGTGTTGTTGCAATAGTAATTCTGCTCATCAGCGCTGGTGAAACCGCAGATTCAGACAATTGGCAATTTGCACTAGGCTGAAAAACCACCATCTGTTGGATTATGTCTGAACGCCTCTAAGTCAAAATCCGTGCTAGAACACAACGACAATTAGCTGCAGACGATTTTAGGTCCACTGCGTCCCAGCGTGACAAGGCGGACAATACCCGACAAGACATCAAAATATATCAAAGTTTAAAATTTCTGGAGTACCTTCGTTGTTACGATCTTCTGAGGTTAAGTTTTGTTTTTCACCCAACACAGCATATACTCCTCCTTGAGAACACTTGGCATTTCTGGGCCTACCTTCGTCCTCTAGGGCGTCGCGAACCAGGCCCGGATCTCTTGTTCTCTTGGACGATAGCTTCTTTACCTTTTTTATCACTACGTCAATTGCCAACATACACTCATGTCATTCAGGGTTAGTGTTAAAAAGGGGTAATACTATAACCGTGCTGAAAATGAAAGCAAATGATCGGAATTCGGATATTGCACACTGATAGTACTATCTTACACAAAACATTGAAGTCATTGGGCAATGTTTTACAGCATTCCCCTTTTTAGCCCCAACCCTAACCCTAACTCTTGATCAGGAATAAAGACTCTTTTGTATTACTTTATTCATTTAGATTTAGATAGATTTAGATAGATTTAGATAGATTTAGATAGATTTAGATAGATTTAGATAGATT